CTGCCACACAGCTTCTCTCTTTCACTTACTGAACTGCATGGACAACCTGTCCCAGTGTCCACAGGGTAGGAAACCTGGACTGAGACCCATGCTTGGAGGCAGCCTCTCCAGTGGTGGCACTCTCAATGATGTAGCCTCAGAATTGAATGTAAGATTACAGTGGTAAATCAATGGCCTTTTAGCTCTGCTCTGCTGTTTAGTGGTGACATTTTTATTTTCTGTTTTACTTACCTGCACTTTATAGTCATTTGTGCTTTTCTTTTCTATTTTTCTTTACATTTATAGCTGATGCAGATGCATTTAAAATTCTTCTGGAGATGAAGATGAAGAAGAGGCAGAAAAAGCCTAATTTACCAAGCACTGTGACTGAGCTTGATACCGAGGATGGTTCTAAAGTATATGTGGTTGGAACAGCCCACTTCAGTGACAGCAGCAAAAAGGACGTAGTGAAGGTAATTACTAAGTGGAAGTCCTTCAGCAGCGTGTTTATGATGTTGTCAACTTAACATTAAGTAGAATGAAGTCCAGCTCTCTGGCTTGGTTCTGTGCTGTAACCTCCAAGACTCTGTTTTTCTCAAGTTAGCTGTTAGAGGGCTAACAGCGCTGTGGGACAAACTAAGAGGCAGCCATATTATCTTAGTAATTTTTTGATGCAATACATTGTGCTCCCATCCCAAATATTTTTATTTGCCCTTAACCAACAAATGTAGATACAGTGCTGGTGTTAAAAGTAGAAGTCTCACTAATGAACTCTCTGCCTGTCACGATAAAGCATCACGTCACACTGACAGTGCGCACTGTGGTTGTTGCATGCTCACTGTGATGGGGATGTGCTGAGAAGACGCGAAGCCTAGAACAGAAACTGCAGTTTACAGCTTCTCTGTGCCCAGGATGTATAACACTGAGCTGTAAAACCATGCTGCCCCAAACTTGAGAATGGAATACAAGACACAAATAGGTCTGAAGCTCTAGTGAAAGTAGGAATTATTTCATACTGTACCTCATGCAAAGTCTGCAGTTTAGAGTGGCTTCATTCTCAAGGACCTAGAAGGGGAGGAATCTTGTGCCAGAATCATCCACCCTGGTTCTTAGAAAGCTTGTTCTAACTCATATTGCAGATGATTGCGGAGTATGGTCAAAGGAATTTTGTTAATGTGAAGTTCCCCCCACCCCAGCACAATTTGTTCTGTATCTTCCTGTCCCAAGCCATTCAGCAGCTAAAGCATTTCACTGTCATCTTCCTTAATGTTTTTCTCAATACATAGCCGTTTGGGGAAGTCTTGTTTACTCTTTCACTGTCCTTTTAATTGAAAATGGTTGCTAGAATGTGCTTTTATTAAGTCCCTTTTCTCATGAAAGTATTGATATTGGCTGCATTTCTGTGTAATCCTTCCTAAACTGGTGTAAATAAATTCATGTTTTTCAGACAATACAAGAAGTGCAGCCTGATGTAGTTGTGGTGGAACTATGCCAGTACAGAGTTTCTATGCTGAAGATGGATGAAAAGACATTACTAAAGGAAGCCAAAGAAATAAATCTAGAAAAACTTCAACAAGCTATAAAGCAGGTATGATTCCCACAGTGAGAATTAAAAGTTTGTGTCAGGACCAATTTGTCCAGTTACAACCAAAACCAGTGTTCCCACCAGCTGGGAACCTAATACTGTTCCCCTAGGTGAGAGTGCCATTACAGTGGCGAAGTTAGGTTTGGTGTTTTGTTTTCAGCTGGAGTGTTGAGGGCTTCTGTTCCACAACAGGATTATTTGGGCAGTTGTTGCCCTAGGCAGGAATCCTCCCAGGTTTAACAGTTGCTCCATTTGCAGGATACAAGTTTAGCTTCGTAATTGTAATGCTCCACTGATACACTTAAATGTGATTATTATCCTTGCGATCTACATCTGTATTGCAGCTATTTAAGGAGCACTTAATTTTGGTGTTGTCTCTCCTGATCTGTTTAGTTGCTTTCCTTCTTCATCCTAGTGTGTTGCTCTTTCTTTTTAATTCCCGTCCACTTGTCTTTTGAGTAGTTTCTCATTGACAGTGGGCCTTGAGGGAGGTTTTTGAAAAATCTGGGCTGAAAAGTGTGGGATTCTATTCAAATTATAACTACCCTGGCATTTTGATGCTCTCTGGGGTGTGTGTGCAAAACAAGGGCTGTCCTGTATTCAGTTTCACGCAGTTAGCTTGTATTTAAGTAGTTTTAAGCTAGGCACAGTGAAAGCACAGAGTTGACTTAAAAATGATGGGACATTTGATTAGAATAGCAGTATGTGGTCAATAGTAAAAAGTTTCCAGTGTCCAGTTGAACCAACAAATTCATAGATTGTTATTTTGGTTGTGAGGTAATTATATATTGGAATTGTTTTATTGATGTAATTGGGGAATTTCCAGGATTGCAACTCTCATAAGAATATAATCTGCATCCATGCAGAAGCATGTGCAGTGGCTAGGGGCTAAGTCTGCTTGTGTGTGTTGTGTGCACCTGCGCGTAGTGCCTTAGTGCAGGCTTTCTGACTCATAGAGTTAGGCAATAATGCGTCTTTCCTGTTTTCTTTATTTATGCCCTATCAAAGGAAAGAACATTGCAAAACACTTGCATATTGCATGAATTACTACATCCATCTGTTTATTTTGGGTAAGGTGGTGGTTCTGATGCATGTAGCCAAAAGAATGCATGTGCACAACAACTAGAGCAGCATAGCTGGGGGTCTTCTGACCTCGTAAACAGGCACAAAAGCCTTTTTTTAATAACAAAGCTAAATGCAACAGTTTTTTTCTGTGCTTCTCTGTTAAGAGGAAAAGGACAGTGAAAATAAAATAGTGGACTTTTTTTCACTGTGATGTAAATTCATGTTGGCAGCTTTGTAATTAGCACTTCCGACCAGGGCTTGAAGTGATCTTGTGTGCCGACAGTAGGAAATGCAGACCGTGTTGGCTCCAAAGCCAGAGAATAATACAAAGATCCTTCATATTGTTACAGCTCAATCTTAGTCTACTCTGTCGCCAGGGATAATTCAAATAATAAAATTTGTACATTGTGCCTTTTAAATAATACATTTTTCCGTCTATAGTCTCAACCAAAAACCCAACTTTCCTCCTCTGATTCAGTAGCAGCATGGGAAAACCAGGAAAAACAGTCCAACTGTCTGATGCTGAATTATAGTGTCTTTGTTTTTCTCTAGTAAAAAGCAAACCAACTGGTAAGTTGCTCAGTCACGCTTCAGTTGTCCTCTCTTATTGAAGTGTGCATTCAGGCCCAAAAGTTACACCAGAAGTCAAAACTGCTTGTAACTTCCGTCCTTGAGTATCAAATTAGGAAAAGAAAACTGTCTTTTTATAATCACTTGTATAAATCTTAAGCAGTAAAATTGCATTTCATTGCTCTTAATTGAAGTTGGAAACTGAGCACAGTGTTAATATGAAACTACTACACCCTTGCAGTCACTGGTATTCACAGCTTATCAAGCAACTGTTGCAGGTTAAAAACAGCCTTCCTCCAGCCTGTCCTTGAATCTCAAAACAGTTGCAGTTGTTTGCAAAGAACTACCTGTTTGCTCTCCGTTAAGCAAAGCAACACAGTGCAGACTGGTATCTGGCTGAAGTGCAGATTACCTGAAGATGCACAGTAACAGTTGGCTTAAACCAAACCGGTGAGACAGGTTTTGTCTTCCCTTCTCCCCCGGCGTCCTGTCTCCACTGTCCCTTCTGCGTCCGTACCCCGGCCACATGGCAGTCTGAACAGGGCTTGCTTTTTAGCTGCATCATGTCCCTGTGTGGCTCTGTGATTGCTAGTCCTGACACAGGGGAGGAGTTGAGAAACCTTGTTCTGGGGCAGAAGAGAAAGTGGGCTGGTGGCAGCAAAATCTTAGCTCAACGTCACTTTTTTTAACCTGCTCACTTAGGCTGAAGTTACCTGTGCAGGAATATATTGTAATGTTGGGTTTTTTAATGCTTCTGGCCAGTGGAAAAGCTCTCATTTTGCACTGTGAAATACCGCCCTCCATGTTTAGGTAACCTACAGGATCGTCCTGTTAAATAAAATGGATATAATGTGAATTGGTAGATGACAGGTACATCCATATGGACAGGACCAGGCTGCTGTCACTTGTTACCTTCACTTGGCTTTGAAGTCTAACCTCCAGCACGCTTGCAGCAGTAGGAAGACCAGTTCCAGGCTCCAGGTGGCAAGGCTTTGTTTGCAAAGGCCTGCGTCTATGGGAATTAGGGTTTTTAAAAGAAGAAATCCAGAGGACTAAAATACAAATGGTTGGTTTCTGCCCACAGTTCTGCAGTTAGTGCTGGACCTGTGACTTGTTATACAGTCAAAGAGTAGCCCCAAGGCCACCTCCTTAGGCAGTGTTCCCATACGTAGTATAAGCATTTCTGTGCTGAGTCCAGTGGAAGATTTATCTGCTTCAGAAGCCCTCTGGCAGCTGCCAATAACAGATGCCTGGGAAAGGCATTAGAACCTGCAGCCGTACTTTGCCTGGGTATTCCTCTCTCCTCCTGTCCTTTTCACTGTCTCCATGCTAGTCATGGTGTCCAACTGAGTGTATCTTCCTCAGTCATCCTTTCCCAAGCCTCATGAGTATTTAATATGTTTACTCTCTTCTAATATGTTTGATATTTCTTTGCACATTTTCTAGTTCAAGTATCTTGTTTTCAAGACAGGAGTCTGCTAAGGATAATAACCTCTCTTACTGTTTTGCTTCCACTGTTTTTTTGTACATTTTGCTCTTTATCCCCCAGCACTTTATGGCTGGCCAGTTGTTGCTGGTTGCTGCTACATACGTCTGCTTGTCACCTTTTATCTCCTTGAGGCTGAGCAAATATGGCAGGTGCCGAGTTTCATGCAGGTAAAGAGCACAAATGACTCAGACATGCTTCAAAGACGCATCCCTCTGTTAGCCAGCAGGATGAATCTTTCTGTCACAGTGTAAAAATGCAACTTCAAAGACATCAATCCTGAAGGGGAGATCAGCCAGCAAATAACCTCAGGCTGCATTATTCTCATTTTCTTTTCTTTGTGGGCATCTTTTCTGAACTTCTGGAAACCCTTGTCCCCCAGGCTTTTGAACTGGATCTGACTGAAAACCCTTTTTCTCAATGCCCTCCTTCTTCCTCGTCTCTCCCCAGGAGCCCAGCGCCCTGTCTTTCTGCCGTGCTTGCTAGTTTGTAGCATGATAAAGCAGATAATCAATTGTCTTTGAAAACAGCCCTTCTCCTTTGCCAGTTCTGGTCCTCAGTGACTCGAGTCCACTTAACTGCAGAAACTGCCTACAGCCTTTGGGGAGGTCACGCAAGCATCAGATCTGGCACAGGGTGGGTCATTTGAGCATGGCCCATGGGAGCAAGGAATGGAGACCAGGACCTTCCTCTGGTGACTTCATATTAACTCAGGCGATCCCATGTAACCTCATCTTCAGTTGTGTGAAGCTGGTAATATAGCAGGAAATTAACCTTTGGCTAGGGAAGAGGGTTCCTTTTGGTAGCGGTATGGACTGACACCAAGTTGGAGGAGATGCTTAACCAAGGTACAGGTTATGCTTGGGGACAGGTAACACTCAGCCACCAAGTCTTAGTCGTAAAAATAACTGGTTGAAGACAGCCAGAGCTGGACAGAAGGAACAACTCTGAGTAGATTTGTTTGAGATGTTTTTTCATTCATTTTGTAAAAGAATAGGGAAGGGAAATTTTGCATAAGTAAGTATAGGAGAATTTTTTGCCTTTTAAAAAGAATGGTCTTGATTTTAGGTCTCTGTTCAAAAAGTAATAGACTGTACGAGGAGGGGCCTTCAATCTGCTTGTGGGAGAGTGTCATGCTTAGGACTGTGAGGTCTTTTCTGAGGTCTTATGTAGTGAAGTCGTGCACTGCAGTTCTTGCACAACGCTAGATTATCTGTGCTTCTGTGTCTGCTTACCTAACCAGTCCTCAGCCTAGTGTTTCCCAGGACTGGGGAAGTGTTTATGCTTAGACCACTAGCTATTTCCCTTTCAGTATCCCTATAACATGGCATTCACTGTACATTCAATAGAATATACTCGTGGTCCCTTTTTTTTTTTTTTTTTTTTTTTTTGTAACCAGGTCAAGAAAAAATAAATGCACAGAATGAGCTGGTTTACAATTCAGTTATTCAGACACTTTCTTCAAGCAGGTGGAGTAAATATAGGCTGAAGTAAGTCTGGCTGCCCTCCTTTTCTTAACTCTGCCATACATTTTTGTTGAAAGGGAGAATACTTTGGCCACACACTGAAGTGAAAAGCTACTTCACAGCCGATACAAACTGAAATAAAAGAGCTGTATTGATCAGTGAATTGGCTCCAAAAGGTAGCTTCAGTGCTGCTTCTTCACTAAGATAATTAATGTTTTTCTCATGACTATGAATAGTGCATTCTTCTTCTGAGAACTCCACACAGCTTGTTGATTTTCTTTTTTTCTTTAATGTTTTTCTCCCTCTTTGCCCAGAATGGAGTCATGTCTGGATTGATGCAAATGCTGCTTCTGAAGGTTTCTGCTCACATCACAGAACAGCTGGGAATGGCCCCAGGAGGAGAATTCAGGGAGGCTTTCAAAGAGGTGCGAACTCAAAATGGTTTTTCTGAGGTCAAATTACTGGCCTTTTGCTCCCAGGGTTGAGCTAAATAAAACCATTTGTTAGTGACTAGAAAAGAGCACTCTGGCCATACTTGTGCTGAAGCCTATGAAGTAGTAAGAATCATCGTTGACTTCAAAGTGTGCTCGAAAGTACAGAGGTTTGTAGCCCTAAGTGGCATGAAAGCAATTCCAAAAAGGCTTCAAATGATAAGGGTTTTTCCAATGATATTTCTGATGGCATTTGTTTTCATTTCATTAATAATGTATTTGTTCCTGTTAAATAACTGTTTTCGAATTCTGGATATGAATCCTGGTCCCACCATTGGTGGTGTCAGGGTTTCAGGCTGTGAAAACCAACTCTAAAGCATTAATGAGATCTAAACGCATTCATCTAGAAAGATTGTTTGGGGAAGTAAAATATTTGACTGGTCTGTTAGTCCTGTCTGGTCTTTTAACATTCCCTTTTGTACTACTGCCAGCTGTGATAGCGGGAAGTAAATAGTAGCTGGACTTCTACTGTATATCACAGCTACTCTTTTTTTGTCTGGGAATACCGAGATGCTATTTTCACGGTATGTACCTGCCTTGCAGAATGTATTTTCCTATTTTTATGTGAATTAGGTACTAGTAAGGAAATGTGAGACAACATAGCTGTTAAAGAATCTGGAATAATTTGGTGTATTTATCCTTAATAATAAGAAAACTGTTTCAAGTCAAAATATGTGTGTGTGGTGGTTTTTTTTCTTTCCCACTTAAAATGGAAAACACTTAAAATGTTTCACTCTTGTCTGGATGCTCAGGAAAACAAGCCTTGAAACAGTTTTCTTATTATTAAGGATAAATACACCAAATTCTAATATATATATATTAGCTCTGTCCTCTTCTAAAGTGGTTGTTTGAAATTTTTAAACAGGTATGTGTAGGAAAGAATTTTCTAGAAATTCTGTACTGTACTAAAATTTGTCAGTCTAAGCTACAGCAAAGTCTCGTCTCACATTGTCATGTGGTGTCTGCCATCAGTTCTTGTTTAATAATCTCCTTCTTGAATATATTTTACCGTGACAAACTGATAGGTTAGTGATCCTGACAAATCCTAGGTAAAAGCAAAATGACCACAGTTGTTTCACCTTAGACATTATTCAGACCCAGATAGATATTGAGCCCCATCTGTTCACCCTAAGTAGTCATAAGCAGGAGCTTTCTGCTTAGGTAAAAGTAACCTAAAGAGGGTGGCATTACAACTTCCATGTTTTTACTGTAATACCTTCTGCGTCTTGTAGCTGATGTATTCCTTTATGAAGTAGTATTTTGGAAATTTTATTTACTGCAAAGCCAAAATACTTTTTGATGTTGAAGTATGACACTACTTGCTCTTTTTTAGGATACCTTGTATAACGCAAAAAAACAAACGTTCTGTTAATAAGGATAGACTGTGCTGCAGTATGAAATGTTGACTAGCGATCTGTATCTTCTCTTTCAGGCCAGTAAAGTACCTTTCTGTAAATTCCATCTTGGAGACCGACCCATCCCTGTTACATTTAAGAGAGCAATTGCTGCACTTTCTTTCTGGCAAAAAGTCAAGCTTGCCTGGGGCCTTTGCTTCTTATCTGACCCAATCAGGTATGAATAAGCATCCCATATGTTTATCGGGTTGAATTGTTCAATTCTTCAGTTTGACTTTAGTATGAGCTGGAAGTTCTCAGTACCCAGCCTGATGCAGTGAAACTTGAGTTAGTGAGAAGGATAAATATACAAACTACCCTGCAATAATCCATATTTTTTAAAAGAAAGCTGGCTTTCTGATCTTGTTCCAGCTCTTTCTTTAATTGTCTTTTAATACATTACTTCCAGGTGAAGTGAAAGATTTGGTGCTGGAGAATTCCTAGTGTACTTAAGGAAAAACTTTTTTGTTATTTTTTATTTTTATGCTGGAAAAAAAAATCTTTCACACTACTGTGTGTGGATATTGTAAATAGAAGAGAGTAGGGCCTCGGTATGCTAATTTATACCTCCTTAAGATTTCCAAAGGACTTGGGCCTGCTGTGCTAAGTCACGTCTGGATCAGGACAGCTTGAGAACTGAATCTGCTGTCTGAACAGATTTTTGGAACAAGAGAAAATGTTTGAACTCTGTGGACAACATGTGGACTCTTAATGATTATTGCCTTTATAAAGGGACATTGTTAGGAACTTTTGCCTGATGGTAATATTTCTCAGACAGCTATTCTCTTGCTCCGTGTGGTTTCCCCTGTCCCTCAGAGACATCCCTGTGCCAAGTTTGCTTCCTCTTTCCACAAGTAGGTGTGTGATAACTTGCTTGAACTGGGGGAGAACACAGGCCCAGCTGTCCTCCTAAACTCAGTCTGCTCCTACCAGACTCGCAGTGGTAGGAGTCTTGCCAGAAATGGGTTCCCTGGGTGTATGGTCCCTGAATCTCGGTTCCTCACTCAGAACCCTGTGACCAGAGCTCTACACATGAAGTGATCTGTGCTATTTTTTCCAGGCTTTTAAAATTAGGCCAGGGCTCAAACGGTAGTCTGCTGAATCAAACCTTCTATTTTCCAGTTTTAGCATTTACTTGATTGTCCTTTCCTGTAAATACCTGCTGTTATATTCATCTGTAAAATGAGTTTGATCCCCTTTCAATCCATTAACTACAGTTCATACGCAAAGTAAGTTTTCTTACTTACTAGTCTGATACCAGCATGAAACTATTTGCAGGCTTTTGGGGGGCATTGGAGGATATATTTCTCTGCAACTTCTCCCATTCTTTTATCCATCCTAAGAACATTTTGGTTTTCAACTGCAATATTAAGATAATTACGGTATATGCACACTGACTTTCCACTGAAGCTTGGACATAACATCTCAGTTGTTGTACGATTGAATGATCTGCTACTTGGTTTTTAAAAATAACATGTTGGTAGGGGTTGAAAAGGAAAGGTGTTCATAATTGGGAAGTTGTTGGGGGGAGGGGGGGTATTGCGCACCCAGTCATCGACGTGAGATTCTACAGAAAATGGAGTAATAATTCAGCATCAAATTTGTATCCGTGTGATAGCTTTGCTATGATCTGTTTGAAAGCTAATAATGCACTTCTTTGGTTGTCACTGTTGACATTTGTGAGTGTCCTTTTGATCTTGGAAACTAAAGCAAGCATGTTTGGCATCATTCTTCAGTAGACAGTGATGCAAAAACATAATTCTGTTGCCACAAACTGACTGTACCACAGCTGTTGGGTACACACAGAAGGTTAACAGCACCTATAAAAAACATTAAAGCTCATTACATTTACTCCAGCAGTTTTCATTTGTTTATTTCCTGCCCATTTCCTATTCTTCTGTTCAGGGCATTGATTTATAACTTTGTCTTCTGCTGAAGACCTGTGATTGACACTAGGAGCCTGCAGAACTCTTTCCATCCCCTCAGACTGTGCCTTACGGTGTGCTGCTTTCGTTCCTTAAAGAGAGCCTCTGTGTGTTCAGTGATCCGATCTGCTTCCTCGGGAGTGCTCTGTGTTGCCTCTTCCAAGCTTATGAATATACACCGAAAGTGGGGCACCATGGTAGCTCTTTCCTTTGAAGCCCTAGTGCTCTTGCTCAGTTGAGTTGTCAGCTTTCAAACGGGGAAGGGTGAAAATCCAGTTGCACTGCGTAAAGGCAAGTGACCTCTCCTCTT